GAGCAATGCAGCCCCTTGGAACGAGCTGCTTCCCCTCCCTTCTCTTTTTGCAAACAAGGGAAAACATGACGATTGCAGAACATTGCTGGAAGACCATTCAAGTGCTGCCGTTTTCTAAGGAGCTGAGTGGATGGCCTGTCCTCTGCTAGGGTTGCAGATAATTGTCTGAATAGGCTGCACAGTTGCATCACCTTCCTTTTTATCCCAGCTGGAGGCCAAGGCACATAGATCTGATTTCATCAGGCTCAGCACTGAAGCTCTCCACCCCCTAGATCAGTGTTTCTCAACCTCAGCAGCCTTGAGTTGTGTGGACTTCAACTCCCAGAATTCCCCAGCCAGCAGGCTAGCTGAGGAATTCTGGGAGTTGGAGTCCACACATCTCAAAGTTGCTGAGGTTAAGAAACACTGCCTAGATCAGCCCTTTGTGCACACAGGAGAGGACAAGGTGATCACAGCTTGAACGTCACTTGTTCTTGCAATCCACGGAAAATATAGGTTTACTTTAACTCCACTCTTGCTTCTGATATCTGTGCCCCACTTCTTTCACCCAAGAACCTGGGAGCACCAATGGCCAATTAGTTACTACTATTAACCCTTAATAATTCACACTTGGTTTTATATTTTAAAAACTTGGGCTCCAATAATTATTTGCTCATCCCTTCCTTCCAGCACTTTGGAAACTTGCTTGATGCAAAATAGCACTTCTTCTGTATCTGATGAGACTCAGTTTGCTTGTCTGGAAATGCTCTAAGAATTTAACCAGCTAGAAAAGTTTTTAGACAGAAAGGAGGTTCACAAGGCCAACCCAAAACATGGCTACCTAAGACACAATTCACTATAGCCCATAACCGTACAATATGGATTAGCCTGAGAATGTAATCCTACTTCACAGTGGCTGATTCACACAACACACTTAACCAGGCCAGTTAAAGATCGGATAGCAGCAGTTGAACAATGGTAGGCTTGGCTAGTGTTAATGCTGCTTAGGTGGTTGGCGAGCTTTTGTGGTTTAGCATGCTGCGCTAACCCACTTGTTACCATATGTTCAATATATTTTGCAAACTCAGAAAATGAGCTTATTCAATAACTAAGTCAAGAGCATTGGATGAGTACAGCTGGAGAGGGCGAGTAACTGGCTAAGGATGCTGGCTAGGGAATTCTGGGAGTTGAAGTCCACACGTCTTAAAGTTGCCATGGTTGAGAAACACTGCTGTAGATTGTGGCTTCTTGAATCCTTTCCCACCCTTTTAACCAGCAGTAACCATAGGCAGTGTTGGGGTTTTCTCCTCTGTCTGTTCATGCACTTTCTCCCCAGGAACTAATCAGAGTTTTATCCCTCCAGCTGGGATAAAAAGGAAGGCGATGCAACTGTGCAGCCTATTCAGACAATTATCTGCAACCCTAGCAGAGGACAGGCCATCCACTCAGCTCCTTAAAAGAAAACGGCAGCACTTGAATGGTCTTCCAGCAAAGTTCTGCAATCTTCATGTTTTCCCTTGTTTGCAAAAAGAGAAGGGAGGGGAAGCAGCTCGTTCCAAGGGGCTGCATTGCTTCAAAGGCCTCCCCTTGGTTACCCTATATGACAGGGTTCCTCAACCTCAGCAACTTTAAGATGGGTGGACTTCAACTCCCAGAATTGAAGTCCAAATCCTGTAATCAGAGTACAGGTATATGTGGCCTCTGGGTGTGTGCATGTGTAGAAATGTAACAGATAATTAAGTGTTGCCTGTGTGTATGTGTGAGAGAAGTTTAATAGTGGCATCCTTGGGGTTCTCTGAGCTTGGTTGTTTTCTTGCAGACATTTTGTTACCCAGCTAAGTAACATCTTCAGTGCTAGAAGGGAGGGGGGTTTGCTCGGTTTAATAGAAGTTTAATAGAGTGGGTATGCACGTGTTGGCTGTTTTTCTTCACGCACACTCTCCCCTGATATTTTTGTCTGTAGCATGCACAGGGCAGGCTGCGTACCTACACCTGGGGGAAGATGACCAAGAAGCAGGAGGGACCAGCACTTACAATGGGACAGTTAGTAGCATCCTCAGATCTGCCTGTTCCATAGGGATGCACAGGGGATTTTTTTTTTCTCTGCACTCCCAGATGGATTTGGTTCCTTCCAGAACTCATCTTCCTTTTGCCACAGCAAAGTTCGTTCCCTTTTACCGTATTCTGCTTCGGAGCATTATTCGGCTGATGGACAGAGTTCTCAGCACAGTTATATCATTTCTTTCCAACGTTCGTGTTTTGGAATGCATAAAGAGAAAACAACTATTCAAGGAGGAAAAGCAGATGAATTAAATCCATCAGCGTCCTAAATAGAGTGTGGCTTCTCAGAACGTATCTGTAATTTGTAATGCTGCTCCAACGCTTGGCTGGTGCAAATGCAACAGGTGAAGTTCTCCCCGTCTCTTATCTCCCTGCTAAGAGAAGCTTCACCCGTTGAATGCCAGCCAGGCGGCTCTTAGATACTGTACAGTGATCGGGTATCCTGTTGAGGTGGAAAAATTATCTATCCTGGCTCTTTAAGGAAGAAACTAGGACTTTGGCACCTCCCCTCGCCCCGATTTCACCCATGCGATCTGCCAGCCAGAGGACGCCGCTGTCCTACGCCCATCCGCGAGCCTTTGCTGCTCTCTGCCGATCCTTTTCCTCCGCGCGGACTTGCGAGGTGCCCCAAATACTCAGACCCGGAAAGCTGCAGATCGCCGCCTTCTCGGTCCTCGCCTGCCCTTCTTCCCGACTCCGCTACCGGCTCGGCCGCGATGGCCACCCGCTGGGGAATCTGCGCTGCGGGCAAGATCGCTCACGATTTCCTCGTAGCCTTGAAGACGTTGCCCCCTGAAGACCACAAGGTAGTGGTCTTCCCACAAGGAGGGAAAGCGACCCCGGCCTAAATTCGGCTGCAAGGCTTGGATTGGTGTCCCTGAAATGGAGTTCCCACGTAGTCTTCCTTGATGCCCTCAATAACTGAATTTTTCTTAAGAAACGATCCGGGGCTGGGGGAGCAGTTATATTCTCGGCAGGTAGCCGGATGGGAAGCCTCGGTGCAAAAGAAACTCGGGTGGGGGAGGGAAAAAATTAACTTTTAATTCTCTTGGCACAGGGAAGCAGCAGGTTGAACACTCATTTGAACGTGGCATTGACATGCCAAGTTTGACTTGAGTGTTTGCCACCCAGCCCTGGCTCGCTGTTGTCTTCTTCTTCCTGTGGGCCGGGCAATGCCCTCCTGCATTTCAGAAATGCCACGTTCAGCAGCAGGACAGCCTGGACAACTAGAGGGATACACGCTAAACACGCCTTGGTTCAGCAGGTACAGCTGATTGAAGGTGGTGCTTCAGAGAGAATCACAAATGGCTGTTAGCAAAATAAAGTTCGCCCTGGGAGCTTCAACCTTCTGTTTTTCTTTCTTTGTGCTCCTCTCCTTCAAGATCTTCCAGGGAGCTCTGCTAAGCAGTCTATGAATGACAAAGGGCAAAGCAAAAAGTACAAGAAAAGGAAGTTAGAAGAACAGGTGAAGCTGCCACCTTTTAGGAACCTCCATCCTTAAATGTTGTTCTGGCAAGAGCTCGGTCTACAGGTATTCAGGTATTTCAAAGAATGTGATCATTGTCTGAAAGCATTAAGGTGGTCTAGTGAGCTATTCCTTCCTGCCAATTGACAACCAAATCATTAGGGGGAAATAAAAGAAAAGGAGAAATTCCAACGTGACCTCCACAGCTGAGATCTGCTGTGAGAACAATACTGCAGAGGAGGACTTCAAAACTGTTGGAACTAAAAGTGTAGAGATGACATGTTGCTACTTGATCTCTAGAATGCCTCTCCTCTCCCATTCTGGGGGCTTTGCTGCTGCCTACTGATTTCCATTTGCCACAGCTGGTGTATACCAAAGTCCAGATTTCAACTCTCCTCCCACCCAGCACTTTACTTTCTTGACCAACTTAGACATTCTCACTTTCATTTGTTCTCTTGTTCTGTTCTCTGTTCCTCTCCACCATGGGGACCACACGCTGGGGGATCTGCTCTGCTGGAAGGATCAGTCACGATTTTATTGTGGCTCTGAAGACTCTGCCAGCAGAAGATCACAAGGTAGTACTCAGAGCACATGAAAAAGAACCTCTGGATGGGATAATTCCCATAGAGCTCAGGCAAGCTCAGAGCAGCTTCCAAGAAGAAGGTCTCTAAAATATTCTTAGTCTGGAATACTGGGAAGAAAGAGACAGTGTGTGGAAATCCAGAGGTGAGAGGCTAGAAGTCACAATGCCAGATCTTCCAGAGAAGAAACAGAGGTTCAGGTTTGATAACAGATGCTGACTGCATTAAGAGCTGGTATCAGAGAGCATGTGAAAAGAGAAAACTTTCCCCTGATCTTACTCTGTGCATATATCTCTGTCTCATTTCATCTCATTTCATGCTGCACAGAGAGTGAACCCAAGAGAGTTTTTGTAAGAGATATGAAGGCCTGGGAAATGTAGAGTATATGGCATCAGGAAGGAAATCATTCATTGTAGCAATTCTGAGAAATTAAAGCAGGGGTTCTATCGAAGTTAACCCTTCCTCTTCTTTCTTCTAAGGTGGTGGCCATTGCTTCTCAAGATCTGAGCCGATCTCAAGAGTACGCCAAGATCCATGGCATCCCTAAAGCCTACGGTTCCTATGAAGAATTGGCTCAGGATCCAGATGTTGGTGAGAAACCTTAATGGAAAATTTGGGGATTTTGGAAGGAAGAAACCCACATCCACTTTAATGGCACAGAAACAGAATAAAGGCCAGGCATACAGGAGGGATGTTTCAAGTCTGTTAGAAACCTGTCTGATAGATGGGCCATCAGTCTGTTCTGCCCCATATTCTCCCATCTGTTTAGTAGCGATTCTCCAGATCTTTGGTCCAGATGGCTATTTCCCAACTTTGTTGCTGGAGACCTTGTGACAGAAGCAGACAAAATCAAATGCTTGAAATCCTTTCTGTGCAGGTCATATATCAGGTTGGCTTCCTGTAACCCCAAGGACGCTTACAGCTCATGGACCCTTTTTCTACTGACAGCACAATGATAAAAAATTGATAGCATAGTTTCCCCAGATTCTGAGGGAGGAAACATGGAAAAGCTCTTCTCATTTAAACAAAGAAACCAACCCCAGATACTTCCATATGTTACTTTCATGATTATTGCTATCTTTGCTCTCCCATGAAGATTCTGTGTCTCCCACTCCCCCTGCTTGGTACACAGAGTACCACATCATGAAGATGTGTTCTTTTGGGGAGAAAAGTTGCCTCCCCCAGGGCAGATTTCCCATATTTTCCCATATTTTAAAGGATCATATCCAGATGATTAAAAATGGGAATTTAATGTCACCAAGATTCCAGCCTTTGTTCTCTGCTTGCTTATGTAGTTAATCATTTATGTCTTTTCTTTAAAAAGAAGGGTTTATCTTAGGTACCACATATAATAAGATTTACATGTTGTTTTCCAGTTGTGCAGTTAGGTAATTTAGATTCTGAACTTAAGAATTTCATTGTGTTCTCCTGCCCTCCTTAGATGGTAAGATGATCTACTTCGTTTATTTCCGGATGAGGTAAGACCAGACTGATGTGTTGCACAGCTGCAAATTCTTGCAGGGACAGGCTAGGCTAGTATCTGAACCTCAGAATGCAGCTGATGATGCGGGGAAATCATGGACACGCTGCAGCACATGGGGACTTGAATAGAATTCCTTCTGGCCGCTAATCCTTCCTGGTCATTTTGCAGAATAGGATCCCCAAGACTTGCTATGACAGCAGCCCCTTGTTCTCCTATGTTTGAAAGAAATTAAAAGGGACGTGGTGAAGGCTATGTAGAAATGCCACATATCAGCATGCAGGGAAGACTGATCCCCACGGCCTGCGCTTCTGTTTTCCCATAAACTCTTCCTGAAATTCCTATGGTTTCTGGAGAGTTCATGGGATTTGGAATAGCTATGGCTAGCTACTGTAACTGATGCCCTCCAGATGCATGGTGTCATGGCCAGCTCGGACTCTGATGAGGAAACCAACAGTGAGCAGCCAGTTCCCAAACTGCCAGGAGAACCGCTGCCTGAGGAGCTGCAGGCAGAGGAGGCTGTGCCACCCGGTAATCAGGAGACACAGCTCCCGCTGATCTCAGCAGATGTGGAATCTGAGCTGCCACCCCCTCCCAGGGCAAGGGCTTGCTGTGCAGAGAGGAGAGCAGAGCAAAGGTGCTCTGCAAGGCTCCTCGCAAGAAAGGAGCCTTGCCCTTCCAAATGAGCAACACCAAGGTTGCTTCCCTTGAAGAAGAGCAGCGAGCTCAAGCCTCTTCATTGGCAACAACCATTCGTTGACCTAGACTCCGTATGCCTTGATTCCCAACTTGAATTCTTGTGTTTGTGACTCTGGATCTAGACTGGCTGATGACCCTGCTATGATGTTTGGACCCTTGGACTTTGCCTGACCACTCTTATGACTGCTGTTTTGGATTTGGACTTTGGGGGACTTGATTTCTCTTGCGTATGTGTGTATGCGATTTCATGCTCATTTCCTTTGCCACTTGTTTATTTGCTTGAAAACACTCTGATTTTTTTGAGTGTGTGGCCTGAGACAGGACAACATGGTGCTACCGTTCTCCAACCCTTGATCCACTAGTCATGCTAACAAGGGCTTCTAAGGATTGTGCCCAATGCATCAGGGGAATAACAGGTTCCTCCAGAGTATACCCAACATTCGTCAGTGTTTCGGCTCAACTTTTATTTTGTCCTCTGTTTTAAAAACTAGATGTGGTGTATGTTGGAGTCATTCATCCATACCACCGCCCAGCCAGTCTCCTCTTCATCCAGGCTGGGAAGAATGTGCTCTGTGAGAAGCCTCTGTGTATGAATTCCACTGAGGTCCAGACACTGGTGCAGGCAGCTGAGGAAAAACAAGTCTTTCTTATGGAGGTGAGAAGTAGGTGACTTTCCTTCCTGGCTGCATTTGCAAACAAGTGGTGGGACTGTCTGTCAGATTCTCCTCCCTGACAGTTCCATTTTTCATTCGTACCCTTCGTTCTCTCTGATTTGAAAGCCTTTGCTTAAAAAATGCAATTTATTTTAAACAAATTGTTTCTAATAATACAATTTGTAGAGGAGCCATATTGGTATCCTGGGCATGGTATCCTGCAATAACTGAAAGGCTGCATAATCCACATCACTGCCATAGGCCAATGACATTTTCTTTTTTATGCATCCCTGAGAGTTAATTTCTCCACCCTGCTTATCATACATTTCCATTTTTGTAGGCGTTCTGGCCCCGCTTTTTCCCTGCTTCTGAGAAGATCCGTTCCCTACTGAAGGAAAGAGTCCTGGGGGATGCAGTGATCTTTCATGCTGAATTTGGGGTTACTCTGCCAAAAGTTCCCCGCTGGCAGCAGAAAGAGCTAGGAGCAGGTGGCCTGCTCTCTATTGGCTTGTACTGCGTCCAATGGGCCTGCATGGTGTTTAATGGGGAGACACCAGAATCCATAGTGGCCTTGGGATTTGTGAATGAAACAGGTTAGTCTGTAGCTGACTGCGATTCTAGCCAAGGCATTCCCTCTTGAGGACCAAACTCTGAAGCTGCAGCTGTAGAATTTCTATTTTCGAAATGAATGTAAAGCCATTGTGACTCATTGCTGGGCAACAATAATGCCCTCGGGCCTTTTGGATACCAGTCTTGCTGTCCCACACCAGCATGGTGGAAGAGAAGGGTTGAAGCCTTACAGATTTAGAGGGCACCTGCTTGGGGAAAGAGGAAATGTGCATTTGCATGGGTGTGTAAAAGACTATGTTAGTGGGAAAAAAAAGTTTGAGCCTGTAATCACTCCAGTATGGGATACCAAAAAACTCTGTGCTGTCTCCCATATTATTTCACATTTGTATGAAATCACCTGGAGAGGTTCCAACCCAGTGTTTGGAGGTTGCAAAGACCTAGATAGGGCAAACAGGCTAAAACTGAAGACAGAATTGTGGTTTGTCCACAACATGGCCGATCCTCTGATGGCCCTATGCCAGTTCTGAATGTTGTTACATTCTCCCTGAAGGAGCAAGTCTATTCTGTTCATAGCTCCTATTAGAATAGTAAATAGAGGTTGGGGTGGGGGTGGGGGTGGGGGTGGGGGTGGGGGTGGGGGTGGGGGTGGGGGTGGGGGTGGGGGTGGGGGTGGGGGTGGGGGTGGGGGTGGGGGTGGGGGTGGGGGTGGGGGTGGGGGTGGGGGTGGGGGTGGGGGTGGGGGTGGGGGTGGGGGTGGGGGTGGGGGTGGGGGTGGGGGTGGGGGTGGGGGTGGGGGTGGGGGTGGGGAGGAAATTTGCCCAGCTTCAGCTTGGTTACAGGCGCTTACCCCCTTATTACTTTAAAGCTGGACTTTTATAACATGCTGTGCTTGGATTGTCCTTGAAGATTACTCAGAAACTTCAACAACTGGAAAATGTAGCAGCTGATATGGTGGCAGTTAAGTTGTTTAAACTGTGCTACCACCAATATTACAAGGTGCTGCACGTAGCCAGTTTGTTTCTGGGTACAGTTCAAGGAACTGGTTATGACCTATAAAGCCCTACATGACTTAGGTCCAAGGTGCCTGTGGGACCATTCCTGAATTCTAGGTTCCCACTCCATTCTAGGTTCCCACTCTTGGGTGGGGGAGGTTGGACCTGGAAAAAAGCTGTCCCAGCCCTCTAGAATATGCTGCCCCATGAAATCCACACAGGAACCATGTTCCTATTTGTTTGCAGAGCAACAAAGCCTGTCTGTTTAAGAGAGTGTTTGGAGATTTGGAAGAACTGCAATCTGGATAGCCCTCATATATGTTTTTGTCATCCCTTGTCTTACATTCATTTTGTAATATTTCCGTTAGGGTAATCACTACTATTTTGTTAATGTTTATTTGAATATTAGCTGCCCAGAGTCTTTGGAGCTAAGCAGGACACAGATGCTAGTGAATAAGAAAATAAACTGAATACAGTACCTACAGAATGGCAAGGTGTGTGTGTGTGTTGTGGGGGGGGGGGAATTGCATAGAGGACTCAGAGTTATCTTGACCTACAAATGCATTTTCTATGTTAGGTATTGATGAAGCTGCTTCTATCATCCTAAACTACTCTGGGCAACGCCAAGCAGTCCTTACTTACAACACAAAAAATTTTATGCCCAATCGAGCAAGTATTAGCTGCACAAAAGGAGTAATTGAGGTAAGTGTTTGAGCAAGTGGATGAGTAAGAGGAGTTTCCTGGAGAGAGAAAAATAGGAACCTTCAAGAAGACTAGAACCTAAGAAGCAGGGATGTCAGCAGCAAGCCACGATTTTGCCAAAATGACTCAACATGCCTTGTGACATCACAATGCAAGCTCTGCCCCTTGCATGCAAAATCACAATGCAAGTATAAAAGAAGCAGTGTGTTCATCATGACATCACAATGCATATTTAATTATCCCCTCTCCCCACCTCCACAGCCCTTGTTCCCTCTCTGGATGCCTATCCCAGGAGCTCCAGAGTTTAGCCTTGAAAGGAACCTAAATGAGACTCTTTGAAGAAACCTTCTTGACCCATCAAATCCTTGGCTGGTAAGGGACAATAGGGCCCAGTTTCTACTTGCTCATGCTGCAGTCATGCCCCAACAACATACATGTTCCCTTTGTCTCAACGAATTGCCCTTATCTTGCCCTCACCCATCAGAGATATAGCTTTAAGAGGTTCCTAGTTATAGAAGTATAAAAATAGTTTTTTATTATTTATTCCAATCTTGCAGCCTCAAGGGGTATAAAATCTGTAATTCTTTGGCATCCATAACTTTGGAGCTGAAATCAGCTGACGTCACACACTTCTGTAGCACACTTCTCTCTTCTGGTCAGCAGGCAGTCTTCAACACAGCCATTCCTCTCCCACTCTTTGCCAACTTCATTAACATTTTTTGTGGATTCCTTTCATCCTCATCACTTCTCCCCCATACTGTTTTTGACACCAACTTCTCTCCAGGTTTCCAATAAGGAATATGAAAGGAGAGCAGGCCTCCATTATTTTATCTGGGTTAAAAGAGAGGGGATGGGTGGATATCATTTTAACCCAGTGAGCAAGGCCCTGTGGGTAGAGCAAGAGAGGATTATAAAAAAGTTTTCCTCTCTTCAGGAAGTCCACAACAATAGCTAGGGTTACCAATGATTTTATCTCCCAAGGAGCTAGCAAATAACTGGTGCATTTTAATTGATCTATATAGCACTGAGAAATTGGCTTTTCTTGGTGGAAACTTGGGTTGATTCATCATTCTAGCTTTAAAAAGTTCAGAAGATGTACAACCAAGGGTTTATCCAAGGGGAAATTTGAGACTACCATATTTTTACAAATTAAGTGCTGAGACTTTTCCTTCCTATGTGCCTGAGCAAATCTGAAGAATTTGCTGAAGCATGTTCAGTCAAATAGATTTTCAAAGAAGTATACATTTTAAAAAATTACTAATGCCCCTCCCTCCTTCCCTCAATGTTTTTTGGTGCAACTAGATATTTTATGCATTTGTTGTCACTTTATCTTCTCCTGCAGGTTCCAGGCCATTTGTGGAGCCCAACCAAGCTGGTTGTTGATGGAGAAGAGGAAAATTTCCCTGTTCCTCCTTCACCCCGAAAACTTAATTTTTCCAACAGTATTGGCCTACGCTATGAAGCACAACATGTCCGGCAGTGTCTTCTTCTGGGTAAAAATCTCAAACATCTTGGGATTTGCTGGAGGGGAGGAGAGAGAAATGGTTCACTGCAAAAGAGTCCCCTTGGGAGCAATTCCTCCTTCCCCCAGCTCCCCTGGTAGGCAACTCACAGGCAAATGTTCATTTTGATCTTCTTCTCCTCTCCACCCATCTCATTTCCTCAGGGCTGAAGGAGAGCCCTATTATGTCGCTTGCAGACAGCATGCTGATCCACTCCATCTTGGATGAAGTCCGTAGGCAAATGGGGGTCTCCTATTCTCAGGATTATGCATGACCCATCCCAGACGTGGATAACAAAAGACAGAAATAAGAAGCGCTATTTTTTAAATGAAATTTGGCAACATTGTCAATACTGATGTTGAAGCTCTCCATTGGATGTAATTAAACAGAGCATTCTGCATTAGTTTGTTCATTATTTCCTCTTCCCTCACCTTTCAAATTGAGCTTTTGCAAAACTGGAATGCTAGATTCTCTTTTTTCTCCTCTCTTATTTCTTAGCTCATTGATGGCCTTGTCCAACTGTCCACTTTCAGGGCCTTTTCTCACAGCTACATTAACATGCCTTCCTCCCAGTTTTTTGTGCTGGAAAGGAAAGGACATCCATATAAAAAGCATAACCCTTATCACACCTTAGTAATGAGGCTGGGCACTATGGCGGCCTTCACACAATTTAATAAGAGGTAGTTTCAAGGCAGTGAGTGGTAGATTCCCCATCATTGTTTCCCTTCCTCCCAGCATTACCTACCAGAGGGAAAACCAGCCACAATCTCTCTCATGGACTTGTAGCAGGCTGACACTGGGGGTTAAGACTTAATTTTTGCTATTTATTTAGTCTTAATATTTATTAACTGCTTCTTTCATCTGACAGGACCATTGATCTCCCACGAGACTGACAGTCCTGTCAGAGAAATAAAAAATTGATATAACTGTGTCAAACCACCATCCCCCCAAAGTCTACCTGAGTGACTGGAAGAGCTAACTTGAAATACAAAGCAGAGAAGCCCAAACCAGAAAGCTCCTGGAGTCAATTTCTCCTGCAAATCATTTTATGGGGCAAAGAGCCTCTTTTCACTCCCACCCCTATTCTACATCTGTGTCTCTGTGCGTGTATCTCATGTGTCTCTGTGTGTGTATCTCTGCTTTACAGATCTTCCCAGCACACACACACACCACGTAAAGAGCAGGATTTCTGGTTACAGATGTATTGATCTTTTGGGTGTTTGATATACCAATGTACAGAGGAAAAGATCAGGTATTTGGGGTCTCTGTGAAAATGGCCATGGAAGTGCAGTGTCCATAGACCAGGCAGAGAAGGAGCATTTCTGCAGCACACTTGCCAGTTCAGCTTGAGCAGAGCAGATCACTGTCCTTGACCATGGCACCCGGGCTCTTCTCTGAAGCACTCTAGATTATCCACATGTCAGAAGGAAAACACCACTTCCAAACTGAAATAGCTAAAGCAGTGGGCTGGAGATCAGATAGAGATGATGTCACAAGACATGCCTCTAAAAAAAAAGTAAAGTGTCTTTTGTACCACTAAAAGCAGAACACGAGGAACAGACTTCAGAGCCTTTCTTCATGAGCTCACCAGAATGACCTGACAAGCATAAGTTTGCCCTGGGTCTCCATGAAACTGGTCCTATCTCCCCCCTGGGCCTTGATTTATGCAAACATTGCACTGTTTGCAATACTAGAAAACACTTGGGAAAGCAGAACAATTTGTCATTATCCAAGCAGCTATCAGCGGACAGGTTGACCTCTCATCCTAATCTACTTTACTGAGTTATTGTGAGGTTAAAATGATTACAGAGAACCATTAAATGCCTTGGAGAACTTGGGGTTTAAATGAGAAATATTTGCTCCATTGCTTAAGCTGATTTTTGTTTTTGTTGGTTCCCCATCCTTGTTGTGTGTGTGTGTGTGTGTGTGTGTAATCAATTTAAACATTTTTTTTTTTTGGATTACATGAAATAGTACTTAAAACCCAAGAGCTTTTTAACTTTTATGATAGAGGGAAAAGTGGTAACAAGAGGGAAATACTTCTGGGTCAGACAAACATGCAACATGTCAGAAATGTAATGAAACCTAGGTCAGCCTTCTCCAGCCTGGACCCCCCAGAAGTGGCAAAATACAATCCCCACATCTCTGTTCAACACAGCTATTATACTGGCCTGGGTAAAGTCAGTAGTAGTTGAAGGTGTCCTATTCTTAGGATCAGGTATAAGCCATCCCACACTTGGTTGTTATGGCTTTTCTGTGTTTAAGAGATATATAACTGGTTTAAAGTATTGATTGCAAGCTTTGGGATATATAACTAGGCTTCAAGGGGCTATTGGCCATGTAGTCTCTTGGCTCAGCAATTGCTGACTATTAAATGAAGAAAAGCTGCCATTTGTGGTCAATTCTCCCCACTGACACTCAGGATTAGGGATTTCCCAGTTAAGCTATTTATTACAATTATAAGAATCTTTCCAGCAGATCAAGTGGGCCAGGCCATCAACAGAACAATTCTATACTGGTTTAATCTTACATGTATTTACACCTTGGTAAATATGAAATCGATTGCAACTGAAAACTAGAAAGGCAACTTACACTGACAGACAAAATAACATGAGTGAGTGAAAAAATAATTTTCATGGAAAAAGTGAGCAGCAATTAAACTGTTGGATCTAGGCTTCTATCATAGAGATTCAGGATCAAATCATCCTGGGTTGGATGCTTTTTGGCTGATTACTGTCCCTCAGCCTAACCTATCTCACTGGGTAGTAATTGTGAAGAGAGATGGAAAATCTGTACTATGTACAAAACTACATAGGTCAGCTTGAACTCTCCTAAAGGAAAGGCATAATACAAATGTAACAAATAAATGAAAGCCATTTCCCAACATGGCAGCTACAGAGAAGGCATCACGCACTATTTCCGCCCTGAGTTCGAGTTCTCTTCCGGTCACTCCAGCTGCGCCTGAACAGCCTACCCTATTACTACTTCCCGTCAAGTTTTGAACTAGATTTTCCAACGGGGACTTTCAACTGCCTAGGAGACAGGACTTTCACCATAGAGAAGAAAGATGATAGAGCGGCACCATTTCCGGACGCTATCGCTTTTACCGGAAGTACTGGCTTCGCACCGCTCCCATCTTTGGTTTAGGCGTCAACGTCATATCCGCCCCTGTGCTTTTTAACATTTCTTAAACCGGCCGGAAAGGGTGACCCCGTGGCGCTGGCTGGGCGGAGTCTCTTTCCCTGTGGCCGCTGAGAAGCAGCCATGACGGAGCCGAAGGTGCGCGGGTCTTTAGCGCCTTTCTTGTTTCATTCACGGGGTAGCTGGAGAGGTGGGCGGGCGGCAGGGCTCCAGCGGCGTCCCTTTGCGGCTCCTGGCCGGTTTCCCGGAGCTTGGCCGTTGTCGGGAGAGAAGGGAGAGGGATCACGTGGAGATGATCCGAGCCTGGAGGGGGAGGGGGAATGGATTGGAATTAGCGTGTCTGTGGATGAATTAGGTTCTAACTCCAGGGCATTTACCGAGTGTCTTTCCTTCATTGTAGACTGTAAATGTGTAACAATGTTCTTTTATGAACCTTTTCCCCCCCACTTTAGTCTGGTTTAGTATTTAAAGAAGGCTTAACGTTATGAGGACCGTGTTTTAGGTGTTTGATTAATGTCGGCCCGTGTAGCTTCATTCTGAAGAGGACAAGGGAGAGAGACTTGGATTAATGGTGCACTTCGGTGATGCACTTTGGTGCATCTGCCAGTCGGCCAAGATGCTCCATGCCAGCATTATCCCAAGTTGGTGCCTAACAAGTGCCATCACCACCCACCAACGTGGCCAAAGCCTGGGGAAATATATTTTTAGTTGAACGCATCAGGAAAGGTATTAGAAACAGGAAAACTACTTTCTGTCATTACTTCCCTCCCTGGTTTCTCATTTTCAATTGAGGCTTAAAATTGTATGCCTGTTGAATATGTTCCTTGTCCTGCAAACCAGTAGGCCAGGTCTTTCTGCCTAGCTGTGGCTTTATTTTGTACTGAGCTGGTGATTGTATGTACTCGAGACTATTATAGAATTGCTCAGTTGTGATAGCTAGGTGGAAAGATAATATGAATGAGAGAAAAAGAGATGGATGTGAAATTGATAAGAGGAAACTGCAAAAAAAAAAAAAAAAAAGTTGTAACCAGAAACTTAGTGTTGTAGGAAATAAGTAAAAGGGCTGTGAAAGATACACCTTTGGAAAAGCTAAACAAAATTCCTGTGCTGTGAAGCAGGGGAATAATATTTGCTTGCATGGATGGTGTTAGCCTTGCTAAACAGAAGCTGTGATGCTTTATAGATTGGAGAAACTCTATAGTTTCAGCCCTATCATATCTAAGGCCTATACAATGATTTTTCTCCCCTCATTTTCATGATTGCTTAGAATATTTAAATCACTGTGGTTTGAGAAGATTATTTTGTTTCATCCTAGAAATATTCCTTTGTAAATGTCAACAAGTCCCATTTAAAAACT